AGGAAGATGAGAGTGGCCTGGCCGCTACTGGAATTGTCCTTCAAACGAGCATCGAGACAGTAAAGGGGGGAATTAATCAAGAAGAGGACGTAGGAGGTAGGGCCCAGTGCCCAGTGCGCTCTCTTCTGGCCACAATCGATGAGCCAGCGTTCTTCTCAGCCCGCCGTGATGCAATATCGGTGCCCGTCTACTACAGCTTCGCCACTGTCCTGCGATGATGATGCACAGTGCTGCTGGCCCATTTCCTGGTTCGATTGCCTGCAAAATTTCTACATTTAGTTCTTCCTCTAAAATTTATGGCCATTTTTAGGCAAAAATTCTCAAGATGGTTAAGAGGCAACGACTTTAACACAATCAAGCCAGCTGCTGAGCCACCCTGGCATCCCGGATTGCTTTAATATCTTTCGATGCCATGTGTATACTGCTTCCTTCCGCTTCATTATCTTCTTAACCTCCTTTCTCCGCTCCTACGCCCTCTCCGTCTCATTCCTCAGCCTCTTATCATCGTTTTATCGTCATCACTATCAATCATTATCTTATCATCGTCATCATCTCACTGTCACTGTCATTACCATCATCAAGCCATTACGATGATTTAAACCCACAATTCAGATATTTTTTCGAAATGTACTCCCTTTGCGTTTTATAGATTTTATCGAATGCGAAATTTCTAGAAACTTGTCCATTTCTACGGTGCAACCCTATTAATCACTCACACCCAGAATTGTCCATTCGAGCCTCACGCCGCGGCACACCAGCCCAACGGCGCCTCGCTTTCTAGCACAACGACATTCTTCCGACTCCCTCCCCGAATGAGTCTGGAACGTCGCAGAAGTTGAACCATGCCCTCAAATTTCGCTCCCTAACCCAAAACATGCTCCAATAATGAAACTATGATTACAAGACAGCCATGTTGACGCTCTTTTGCCGCAACCCAATCGATAATTTCACACCTCTAAATTCTTCATGTTTTGCAGTGGCAGTTATAAATGATCATTCATGCATGTTTGTGTATGTATGTGTGTGTGTGTGTGTGTGTGTGTACGTCTGTGTGTTTGTGTGTGTTCGTATGTCTGTATGTGTTTGTTCACGTTTCGTTCTGCATGTTGTGTGTGTGTGTATGTGTGTGTGTGTGTTTATCTGCGTGTTTGTCTCCTTCAAAAACCAAATAAG